GCCGCTCTCAGGATGATGAGGTCGGCGATGGAACTACTGGGGTTGTAGTCCTTGCGGGTGCTCTTCTTGAGCAGGCTGAGCAATTACTAGACCGTGGGATACATCCCATCCGTATTTCCGATGGTTATGAAATGGCTGCTAGAACGTGTCTTACTGTTTTGGACAAAATAAGCGAGAGATTTGAATTCTCATTGAATAATCGGGAACCGCTTATTCAAACAGCTATGACCACCCTTGGATCAAAAATGTATGCTCTAATATACTTACTTTTAGTGTTAATCGCTGTCAGCGACTGTTTGCTGAAATGGCTGTCGATGCGGTACTATCTGTTGCCGACGTTGACAGGAAAGATGTAGACTTTGAACTCATCAAGGTTGAGGGAAAAGTTGGTGGTCGTCTGGATGACTCCATGTTGGTCAAAGGTGTTATCGTTGATAAAGATTTTTCGCACCCCCAAATGCCGAAACAGGTGAATAACGCGCGGATGGCCATTTTGACTTGTCCATTTGAGCCACCTAAGCCAAAAACCAAGCACAATTTATATGTAGAGGATGTTGCCTCGTATACAAAATTGAGAGACTATGAACAGGAAAAATTCCGCGAAATGATTAAGCAGTAAGTGCTTACTTTATATTATTTAAGGGTTCGGGCTACTGGTGCCAATTTAGTTATCTGCCAATGGGGCTTTGATGATGAAGCAAATCACTTGCTCTTGAGCGAAAATCTTCCTGCGGTCAGATGGGTTGGCGGACCCGAAATTGAATTGATTGCTATCGCAACTGGCGGCCGGATTGTTCCGCGCTTCGAGGAGCTCACGCCAGAAAAGCTTGGCAAGGCTGGTGTTGTAAAAGAGCTCACGTTCGGTACTGTTAAAGAGAGAATGCTGGTGATTGAAGGCTGCCATAATTCAAAGGCAGTAACCTGCTTTATTCGTGGGAGCTCTCGGATGATAGTTGACGAGGCCAAACGCTCTCTTCATGACGCTCTGTGTGTTACCAGGAATCTGGTTTGTTTTCTTATTTCTTAAAATTCATTTTCTAGGTTCGCGACCCTCGTGTTGTCTATGGTGGCGGCTCGTCCGAATTAGCATGCTCTTTAGCTATCCTGGCTGAAGCGGACCGAGTTTCTTCAATGGAGCAGTACGCGATGCGGGCTTTTGCTGATGCTTTGGAATCAATCCCCATGGCATTGGCCGAAAATTCTGGTCTAGCCTCAATTGAAACTGTCGCGGAATTGAAATCACGTCAAACTTGTGAAGAAAATCCTTATCTTGGAGTAGATTGTATGTGTCAGGGCACCAATGATATGCGAAATCAAAAAGTTGTCGAGACTTTAAGCTCAAAACGAGCCCAAATCATGCTTGCTGTGCAATTATGCAAAATGATTCTCAAGATAGATGATATTCGCGTTTCAATTGGCTAATGCTCTAAATAGTTTTTGCTAACGAAGAAATGATTTCATCTATTAAGGTTATCCTGGTGCTTTTTTATTATAAGGGCTTATGCATTGCATATTTTTATGTATTTGTTCATGACATATTTAGTCTTCTCCGATGTGTTCGTTTCGCTTTAGTAGTGTTGTGCGTGTATTCGACGCTAAATTTACTATATTTCGTTTCGTCCAGCTTCTGTGTATCAGTAGCCGCCGTTTTGGGTAAGTTTGCATCGGTCAGATCTGACTCAGTACATCTGTGTTGAATTTTTTTATCAAATTAAAGTACCAGCATCATAAATCTTACCTTGAGCAAGCCTGACATTGTAGTCATTTCTTTCTGCCTTGTTGGTCAGGTTTGTGTATTTGTCGGCCAACTTAGTTCGCGCAACCTGATAACCTTCTGTTGAGGGCTGTGGCAGGACCCAACGGCCTTGAAGGATCTGCTAGCCG